TGGAAAGTATGGCATTTTTTATTCCTTTGATAGAATTACAAATCCTTTGGTGTAAGTAAAGTACACATGCTAATCTTTCGGCAGATAGTGAAATTTAGACCAAAAAATAAAAAAATTTTAGAAAATTTTATCGACAATGTCACCTCAAAGAATTATATCTTTTATATCAAAATTATACTGCTTCAATCTGCAAAACAAGGGTCTGTGCCGAAGAAGAGCGTATGAAACAATAATGGAAAACCAAAAAAATAGAGCTTAGAGACTTATTTTCAAAATGCCATACTTTTCCAGATTTATGCAAAGCATACGTGCAATATAGAAAGAATAAGGTAAAAAAGAGCTATAAATTAGTTCCGAGATCTTGGGATAGAGGCGCTATACAGTTCTCAGTGCTATCTGTCATATACAGAATCTTTCAGGTTAGTTATGTGTGTGTTAGTTGTGTGTGTGTGTGTGTGTGTTTTGTGTTTGTGTCATGTGCTATGAAACCCGGCTAGAAAAAAATGGATTGAAGGCACTCTGAAGGATAAAGTGTATGTATTACACATAAATTTTGCAACAATTTTTGCAAACATTCACATTATTTAGTTACATACATTCATATTCTAATTTCTGTAAAATACTTTTATTTATGTGCTTTATGTGTATATATTATGTGTATTATGTGCTCCATATTATACATATTCACATCAAAGTATCTATGTAAAAAATTAATATCATTTTGTATATTGTTATAATAAATGTATATGTCATATAACTTATATTATATATTATTTATATGACGAATGACATATATCATTTAATACATATACATTATATATATATAAAGTATATGACGTAATAAAAATATCTTACAATAAAGAATAAGACAAGCCAGAGGCGGTTTTCTCGTGGACTGGCAATATAGAATAAGACAAGCCAGAGGCGGTTTTCTCGTGGACTGGCAATTTAGAATTACAAAATGTCAGAGACGATCTAACGTCAGCTAACAATTTTTAATAAATATAGTCAGAGGCGATCTAACGTCAGCTGACAGTTTAGAAAAAAAAGAGCTAAAAACGATTTATTCGTGAACTGACAGATTTTAAGAAATATTGTTAGAGGCGATCTAATGTCAGCTAACAATTTTTAATAAATATTGTCAGAGGCGATCTAACGTCAGCTGACCGTTTAGAAAAAGAGAGCTAAAGACGATTTATTCGTGAACTGGCAGATTTTAAGAAATACGTATTTCTTTTAGTTAGTAATTTACTACACTTGTGGTCTGTTTTTGTTTTATCGAATAATCTATAAGGTTATTTCATCTTTTTTCTCGCTATTAAAATTCTATCGTATGGCTGTATGATGTACATACGAGACGAAATAGACTTATACAAGGTGTCTAATAGATATAAATTAGATATGATAAAATCTTTTATTTGAAAAATGTATGTATAATATTATATATCTAATTGGAAAAAAATGTTATATGCTTTCCCTATTTTTATTCTTATGTAATTAATACAAAATAAATAAATAAGTTAATTATTCAATACATACATATATATATTGAATATAGTTGTCTTTATTTTGTATTTTATATAACTGAAATGATATATACTCTAATTATTTCAGTTATTATCATATAAAATATAAAATAAAGATAATTATTTATTTAATATATGTGTATATGTATATATTAATTAATTGATTAATTAGTTATTTTGTATTTGCTACATAAGGATAAAAATAAGAAAAGTGTGTGACATTTTTCTTCAGTGATATATATAGTATTTTATGTATATTTTTATTTATTATTTTGTCATATTTAGTTTATATTTATTTGACACCTTGTATACGCCTATGTTTTCTCGGACAGTATATTGCAGCCTTGCGACGAAATTTCAGTCGAGGAAACAAGCGCAAGCATCGTTTGTTTACAAACTTCCGATGACACACGTACACAGACCACACGTCAGTGTAGTGAGTTACCACTACAAACAAATGCGTACACACGGACCTACGCGGCGTAGGCTACGCCGATAATGTCATTTCATTTTTAGTACCATCGAAATGATGGCGCTTTCGCGTCGGAGTTCGCCCGTCACTTTAGCATCCTCTTAAGAGGATGCTGGAGTGCCTGATGAACTCCGACGCGAAAGCGCCATCATTTCGATGGAACTAAAAATGAGAGTGATATTATCGGCATAAGTCATAATCTAAGTATGAATGTATTGTGTACGCGTATGTGTGGTGCGTGTATATATTCGCATATTATTGTATAGCGCCTCTATGCCAAAATCCGGGAACTAATCTGCTGCTCTTTTTAATCTTATTATCGTCTATATTGCTCGCATCCTTTGCATAATCGTAATTCGCGACGCATTTTAAAATTACATCTCTGAACTCAATTTGAAAGGTTTCCTGTTAATCTTTGATATACTCTTTTTCGGCAAGCACACTCGTTTTGCATGTACAAACTGTATAATTTTTATAAAAAATTAATATTTATATGCATTGATAGCTTGTCGGTAAAATTTCCAAATTTTTTCTTTTTTTGTTTTAAAACTAGTGCTTGCCGATGTATTAGAGTATGTACTTTAACCATATAAGAGGATTTGTAATTCTATTGAAGCAATAAAAAATGCCGTGTTAATTACAAAATTGAAACTCGATCGGTAAGAAAGTGTAAATTCAGCATCCTCTTAAGGAGTCTCAATTTAAATGCCTCATTCTGTGTAAAAGTGTCAATGAGCACTTTTTTCGAAAAAACATTATTTAAATTTCTATTATTAAATCAATCAACTGAAACATTAAATGTTTTTTTAGTATTTTAATTTTTCTGAATGCTAGTATAACAATATTGTGATTTTTTTAGATGCGGATACCGACGGAACAATTTGCTCGAGTACCAGTTGTATTACTTTCTCCTGGGTTATTATTGTCGCCCACAGAAACGGAAAATAGTGGCGGCAAAAACTCTTGGCTGAGGAATACAGGAGCGGTCGGCTCGGCACCAGCTTCTCCCGCTTCTAGACGAAAAGATTCTGCATTGCGTAGTGGCACATCTACTTCAACACCGACGGTGACACCCGTTTCCGCCCTAACGCCGGTGTCGACGCCACCTTCTCATGCGCGTCGGGAGATAGAAAAACAAGAAACGGATAGAAGGTCGGTGCAATGTATAGGTTATTTATTTTAAGTGAGAACTTAAAATATTTTGAAATTGGGTCAAGATACCAAAAAATTTTTCAAAAATAAGACTGTTAAAGATACTAAACAGTAAATCAATATTAGCATGCTTTCCCTTCTCCTCCCCCTCCCTTCATCTTCCCCTCTCTCTATCTCTCTTCTCTGCCCCTATATATTACCTGAAAATTCTTTCTTAATTCATATTTACTTTTGTACTTATCTAGCAGCTTTGCATCACTAAATCTTGTTTCTTTCCTTCTTATTCTTATATCAGTATTTACCATAATCTGTTTTGTTAGTGGGTAGTAATTATTATACATTTCAAATTTACCTATCTGTTCCGTTTCTTTCTTATATTTTCTAAAATCTCTCCATGATTCTACTAGAACATTTACCGTTCCTCTGGGATTAACAAATCTATGTCCTCATTCTAGAATTTTTAATCTGTTCATAATTCCTTCAAATTTCCTATTGCCATAGCTATATATTTTTGTCCAGTAGTTCCTTGCTAACAAACCCGCTCTTTCTTCCATTCTCATAAGTTTTGATTCCGTTATCATATGGCGTGCTATTCCTATAGCTCATTGCTATTTTTATTCCTTTGTATTGGAGTTTTTCTATTTTGTCTTTTCCTCTCCAATCTCTCGGATAATATACGAACAAGCCGTAATCTATGTTAGATCTTATGAAGCTTTTGTAAACTAATATAGCTGTATTTATTTCCATGTCCCAAGATACTCTGTTCAGGAATTTTAGAATATTGATGGTCTTGTTTACCTTGTCTTGTATCTGTTCTACTTGTTTATTAAATATGAGTTGGTTATCGAAATTGATACCCAGGAATTTCGCATAGCTGGTGCATTTTATTTCTCTGTCTTCAATTTTTATTTTCTTTCGATTATCTATTTTGCCTTGTTTATTAAAATCCACTAGCTTGGTTTTCTCTGGTGTCAAGTCCAAACCTATTTCTTTTAGGTTCTTACCTATTATTTCGACTGCCTTTTCCAGTTCATTTACCAAATTCTCTTGATTGTTACGCGTAGTGTCCACTTACCAAATTCCCTTGAGTGTCACGTGGTGGTGTAGACTACGATATCATTAGCATATTGTAGCATTTTTATATTGTGTTTTATCCCTTTTGTGATATCCTTAGTGTACGAGGACTGTTTGAAAAGTTTCGGGCCTAAATAAGACAACATTTTTGTGGGCTAATTTGGATTTATTTCTCAATGTAGTCTCCATTTAACACTGCCCAACGATGTTCTAGGGCCGTTATGCCAGTTTAGTAGAATAATTTGTCGAAGTCCTCAAAATAGGCATTTACAGCATCGATTACCTCACTATTATTCGAAAATCTCTTTCTTCCGAGCCATTTTTTGAGGTTTGGGAACAAATAAAAGTCGTGGGGCTAAATCTGGTGAGTATGATAGGTGGAGAAGCAAACTTCAATTCGTGTATTTTGGCCATCGCAATGACTGATGTGTGAGCTAATTTCCAATTTTTTTTATTGTTTTACAATTGCTTGAGGTGTTCACTTTGGCGGACAGTCATACAAATACTTGAATAACGTATTGACTTGAAACTTTAAACTTAAATAAAATTCTTTAAGGCTTATATGATAAACTATCAATATTAAAAGAAAGGCAATAAGAGGCACTGCTAATTGTTATCGCATGAAAACATATTTCTTTCGAAGTACAAATAAACAGACGTTTCGGCCTGTATATCAGGCTATCCTCAGTGTACGCAATTCTCAACGCAAATTTAAATACTAATCATGAAAATTTATTACAATATTTCGTTAATTAAAATAAAAAAAATTTTTTCGCGTAATTGTACATGTTTAAAGTTTCCGATTTTTATTTGGAAGACTGGTTACTGCGTAAAAGACTGCGTAAAAAACTTCATGTCGCAGGTTTCGGTGAAGATGGAAGAGTAACAATGGTTTATTGATTTAAACTTAAACCAATAAAAGATGAGAGCGTAAAAGACCATTAAAATATTAAACTTATTCGCGCCATTTCTATGTGAGGTCCGGAACAGCCCTCGTATAATGCATACAGAGTAGAGCTTATTACTCCTTGAGGCGGACCTTTATACGTTAATCGTTTTATTCCTCTTTGTTGTTTATAATGAATTTCGTCCTTCTATCTATATCGCACTATTTTTCTTGAGCATTTTTCACTCTTCACTTTATCAATTAGTATGTCTCTTCTTATATTATCATATGCCGATGATACATCTAAAAATGCAGCTATAGTGCTTTTCTTTTCCATCATATCTATTTCAATTTCTGCCGTTATTCTGGCCATATTATCCGTGCATGATCATCCTTTTTTATCTATTTTGGTTTTTATCATATTTGTTACTATCTTGGCGCATCATACTAAGTCTTTCATTAACTATTTTTTCTAGAATCTTTCTCATACAAGCAGATAATGTGATCGGTCTTACTTTTTCTTTGTCTGCTTTATCTATAAAGATTGTTTGGTTTGCTTTCCATTCTCTAAGTTAAGTTCCTTTATTAAAACAATAGTTAAACAATGTTAATAATTCTTTCTTGAAGCTATTGCTTAGCCCCTTAATCATTTTATATTCTATTTTATCTAGTCCTGGTGCTGATTTTTCCTTGATACTATTGCACGTTCACGTTAATTCTTCATATATGAATGGTCTATCTAATTCTCCCATTTCATTCTCTTCTATTTCACTTTCTTCATTTTCTTCTATATTGTTGTCTATGCCCATGGTGGAGTTATTTTGTCTATCTCTTTTTCAATGATCTTACTCCTGTCTTTTGTTTGCCATTTATTCCATTGTACCACTTTAAAGCTATTCTTTATTATCTTCATCTTATTCCACACATAATTAATACTTGAATTTTTATTAAGATTACTGACAAAATTTTTAAAACTTTTTTTGTTTTATTATCTTTCTAGCTATAGCTCTCGTCCTTTTATATTCTATATAGCTATGCATGTCTTGCTTTTTAATATATTCCTTTAGTTTTTCTTTTCTCTCTTCAATGGCTCTATCACATTTTTCGTCCCACCAATCTACAAGATTTCTAAGTTTTCTTTGATTTCTGTTAAGTATTTTTTTTTTTCTTATTCGTGTTCTCTTCCTCTCTTTCAAACTTTCTTGTATTGCTTTCATATGTTGCTACTTTAATTGCTTCTTTCATGATGTTTGTAATAGTCGAGTATTTCTCTTGTTCTGTCTTGAGATAATATTCCTGCGTTTTAAGTTGATCTTCCTGTTGTTGAATGAGTTCTACGTATTTTTTCCAATTCGTTCTTTTTTTGGAGATCCTGTTCGTGCGTTTAGTATATGTTGATCTGTTTATATTCATCTTAAATATTTATGGGATAGTGATATGAATCCCATGAGTCTTCTTGTTGTTCGTATGTTATTAGCTCGTATATTAGCTACGTATTCGTAGTAAACATTAGGTCTATATTTAAAGGTCTAACTTCAACTTTTTCTCCTATTCTCGATAGGGTATCCCTATTAATTAATACTATGTTCCTGTCTTCCATTTCTTCCTAAAATTTCGCCGTTTCTATCCGTGTTTGTACAGTTCCACACTTGATTATGTGCGTTAAAATCTCCTGTCTTATAACTTCCTCATCTGTAAAATTGAAGCTATTTATAATTTCTTTCTACACTCCAGTCTGCTCTATTTTCCTCGGTTTTCTGCAAATTCCAATAATATTAATATCTTTTTCCAATCCTTTAATTTTAACTTCTAATATTATCTATTCAATATTATTTAAGTACGAAAAGTGTCAATCTTACAATATGGTTATGTCAGGTTATGTCAGACAACGAATGCGGCTCATACGCACAACAATCGAGTATTTGCGTATGTGTACGGCGCCTCTCTGATATTATCCGGGAACTAACTTATTTGCTGTTTCTTTTTTTGTCCATTATACCGATATCGGATATATGTACATAAAAATAGTAAAAAGGATACAACTTTTACATTAGACTCCCAAGTTCAATTTTAGCGATTCAATAACATTACATTATGCAATCCGTAAATCGCGCTGCATTGCTTATTTAGTGTATTAAAACTATAGAACTTTTATAAAAACTGAAAATTGATAGCTCTAAACGACAAGTTGTCCGAAGAGTATATGAAAAAAAGATTAATTTTATAATAAAAAGATTAATTTTCTTTTTCGGAATAAAGTCGAGCAGAGTGAATTCCCTTTTTGTGTACACTTTAATTCTACAAAAGGATTTATAATTTTATGCAATCAATAAAAAGCTGCATTTTTTAAAAAAATATTGCATTTTATCAGTAAAACAGATGACTCCAGTGTTCTCTTAAAGCTTAAAGTTTGCACTTTTACGTACTTGTAATCGCTTTTTTAAATTTTTTCATCTATTTTCATCAATATCATATTAGTTCAGAGAAAATCCCCTGGCGACCTCTTGAACACTTTGATACAGGGTGTCCACAAATGTTAGGAGCAAATTTATACAGTATATTAATAGGGTCCGGAGATGAAAAAAGTTTATATGAACTTATAATCGAAAATGCTTTATTAAAAAGTTATAAGTGTTTAAAGATTCATAAGTAGAATTGTCCTCTATAACGTATTAGATAGAATCGCTGACTCAGAAACAAATGGCTTTCAATATTATTTATACGTCTTAATTTGTGTTTGACCTTTTCACTTCTGTGACAGAAGTCGTGACTTGTTAGACTTTCATGCGTTTAGTGTTACACAATCAAAAGAGTTCGGTAATCATTAGTTCGACGAATAAAAGCTTGCAGTCTCGCAGAAGGAAGAACATTCAAACATCTATTGTAATATGTATGAGAAAGGAAAAGAGATTATGTACAGGTGAAAATATGTAAACAATAATTGAGTTATTTGTTTTTGAGTCAACAATTCCATCTAATAAGTTATACAGAACAATTCTACTTATGAATCTTTGAACGCTTATAATTTTTTAATAAAGCATTTTCAGACATAGGTTGATATAAACTTTTTCCTACTTGGATCCCATTAACAACTGTATAAATTTGGTTCTTACCTTTACAGACACCTTATATGTACAGGGTGTGTCGCGCATCGTACAATAATAGCTAGCACATTCTTGAGATCATTTTGAGACGAAAATCTTAATATCAAAATATCGAGGCCAGGGGGCGCGCCAAAGGTATTCGCCACCCAAGATCTATAGAGAGCAGGTTACCTCAGTAAAACCGGTTGAGGGCGAGGGACGATGAAGTAAGGGGGGAGGCTAGAAACATCTTGATGGCGAGGAGCGATGAAAGGGAAGGGGGGAGCTAGAAACAAGCTTGATGGCGAGAGGCGATGGAAGGGAAGGGGAGGAGCATGATGATCTCATCGACAAACAGTAGCTGTCTGAGATCAAGATCTATAGAGAGAAGGTTACCTCAGTAAAACCGGTTGAGGGCGAGAGACGATGAAGTAAGGGGGGAGCTAGAAACAGCTTGACGGCGAGGAGCGATGAAGGAAGGGGGAGCTAGAAACAGCTTGATGGCGAGGGGCGATGAAGAAAGGGGAGAGCATGATGATCTCATCGACAAACAGTAGCTGTCTGAGATAGCTTCTGTTTGCCGATGAGATCATTATTGCCCCTCTTGCCGCTCGCCTCTCTCTGCATTTGCCCCTCTTGCTGCTTGTCCCTCTTTGCGCATGAGGTAACCTTCTCTCTATAGATCTTGGTCACTGACCTATGCCGTGTAGGTCCGTGTGTACGCATTTGTTTGTGGTAACTCACTACACTGACGTGTGGTCTGTGTACACACGGGGACAGAAATGCCTTCTCACATGAAGTTACATGCGTCTCGTCGGACATGTCAAGCATACCGGACATGCGTGCTTCATCTTTCAATATTCGTG